AGCAAGAGAATTTGGCTGTGCTACGGGACAGCAGCAAAAATATTGGCTGTACTGCGGTATTTGGGTGAGAAGTATTGGCTGTACTGTGGTATCGGAGCATGAGTCGTGGCTGTGCTGCGGTACATGGGCAAGAGTATTTGGTTGTGCTGTGAGGCCGGAGCTTGGCTATTGCCTGTGTTGTAATATCCTGGGTACCTGAAGCCTTAAAACTGAGTTTCTCTTTTGAACATCTATTGATTCTAGGATCGTTTTCATGGGAGCCTTTGCTATGCCAGATCCACAAACTTTTATTTTGTCTTTGTTTCGCGCACCGCCAAATTATCTTCGAAACAAAGTTGATAAATTCTTGCTTTCCATGCAGGATGTAGTGAATTTTCTGGAATCAATTTTACCCACGATCGTCGGTTCGGAGGGCGAAGTGAGGCCACGGAATTCAGATGAATTGTTTATTTTCTAATTAATTTGTTCAATTCGAGCTTGGAGAAATGCATTCGTAATGTAAAACATACGTTCGTTGTAACAAATCGTTTTGTTACAAGGCACCGACCACCATATCCAAAGAAGTTCTCGTGTCGATTGAAGTGCTTTCTTGTATCGTACGACTAAGTGCAACTGAGTTACTGGGTTACGGGATCCGCCATGCATGCACTCAGTAAGCTGCCACCGGCAGCCGATGGCGACAGGCTCTTGGATGGCTCGTAATAAGAGACGTGGCGAGTTCTTGGCCGTTGTCCTCCCGCCTAATGCCAGAGCAGCAGTCTGGGGCGCCGGACCCTTGGATGGCTCGTAATAAGAGACGTGGCGAGTCCGTGGCCGCTGTCCTCCCACCTCATGCCACCAGCGGGGCAATCATAAAATACGAGACTTGGAACAAACGTGTTCTTTCACGTCCTCTGATCTGGATGAATTTTATTATAAGACAATTGATTAACGAAATGGCGAAGATTCCTGCTTAGCATGAACTTGTATGCTATCACTTGTGGTACTGAGGTAGTTACGTCGACAGTTCTTTGCACGTTAGGCTGGAGACCTTATGGGAAACTAGTGGAAGGACGAAGTGGAAGACGATTTGGAAAAGCACGAAGTGGAAGACGATAAAAGCTATCGGGTACTCAAGAAAAATTCACAATAAGAGGCTGAAACCGCAATGAGTGAATTAAAATAAGGAGCCATTTTATCTATTATGTGTGCAATTCACATCATATTTTAATTAGGTTCTGATCGCCCAGGCATGAGGCAAAATGGCTGTCACATATTGGAATCTTATCAAGCTGCTGCTGGCTAAAGGTGCTTTTACACGGGAATAGTATTAGCTTCGAGTATTCGCACTCCAAATATTGTGATGATTTATACTTCAGATGCGAGTAGCTGATGCGTTTGCGTCTGAAGCAGTTCAAGTTGTTAATTTAATTTGCGGTCTAGTATCGGCAGTAGCGCTGAGGCAGCTAGTGTACATGGCTGTACCGCTTTGTATCCAGCTTGGGGCAAGTGTTTCTACGAGTATGTTATGAACTTTGTCTTGTTCCGGCAACGATGGTTCTTAAATATCATGAGGTGTTCACATGATAATGAACTGTTCTTTTAGATATTCATGAAGTACGATATAATGTGGAATGTATGTTACAATGAATATTACAACAAAAACTAATGGTGAAAGCAGTATTGTGGAACTCAAACGAGACCTTATTAGGTGTCTTTCTCTCTCACACTCTACGAAGTTTTTCGCCTCCTAAGCAAGAGTGGTAACTATACCACCAACTGCTTCATCAAAACGCCTCCTCGAATTCGTCATTACCGTTATGTATATGTTCCTTATTCCACCATGCAGTCTGACCTCACTCGACGGCTTGCAACGACGCACTGGCACCTGTGAGCAGTGGCTGTGAGTGCGGACTGTTAACTGTTTACCAAATAATAATAATAATAACGGTTTCAGCGTTTTGTAGGCCGTAGGCCTGTCGCCGATTCTTAACATCGCAGAACGTTTGCAACATTTTGCGGTCTCGAACTCGCAACCCACTGCTACAATTCTGTTATGCTTAACCGCCCGGCCTCCTTGCCGATACTGACCAGAAACTGGCACACAGAGCTGGGATCGAACCCGCGCCTCTCTGCTCCAATCATGATACTCTGAACTGTAACCACTGGGCCACCCTCGTGTTTACTCTCCTCGTGTAGAGGCTTTAAGCCGGCAAAACTGGGAGTGTGCAAACTCGCAGCGAATACTCGCAGCTAATACTCGTGTAGAAGCACCTTAAGCTACTCGAAAGTTGCGACGGTCCCATTTCTTATTTAAAAATGTGCATAAAATTAACGTTATCTGCAGAGTTACTCTCCTATATGGCTTCACTATAGGGCTCTAGCTAAGCTATGCAAATAAATAAGTAGAATAAACGTTAGGATCATTAGGTCATTAGGTAAGCTCTAATTAAGAGTGTTTAGAAGGGCAGATTGAAACTCGAAAGTTGTTTTTTGGCCACCCATCCAGTTTATTGCTTTGATTTTAGAATACTGGTGAAGAAGTGGGTATTACATTGTGTATCACTTACCACTTATACGATGATTGAAATATTCGTTGGTGGGTGTGCTAATAATGATCCGAAAACTCGAAATCACTTATTTTGGCCAGTCTTTATCCAAAAAATTGTTTATCGGAAATTGATAGTTTTTCTGTGTTGGTTATAGTTCAATGCAAAAAACAATGTGTTAGGCTTATTTTACACAAACAAATTGCACTAAATTATATATATATATATATATATTATTAATTGTAGCATAATCATTTAATTTGAGCTTAGTTAGCGTTGTTGATCTTTACTTTTTTTATTTTAGTATTGGAGGAGCAGTTGTCTGGTAAGTCAACAGTCCGGCCGGCGTGAGGCGTCTAACTGTCCATTCAGTCATTCATAGCCGGGCGCCGGAGAAGGTTAGGATGAGGAAGAGTCTCTCAGTGAGCAACGCAGCCACGGACTTGCAATAAACCCAGTGCCGAGAAGCTCTCATTTGGATCTTTGAAAACAGAACTCGTTTATTCAATTGTAGATTGAAAATATGAATGTTTAAACACTATTGGGATTGAACTCGCAATTGGTGCTGAAAACTCGCATTGATAACTAGCATTGAGTCGTGCTCCCGTGTTATGTTTTTAACTCTGCACCGACTTAAAGTGAAACTTAAACGAATTTATATAAAATGTGACGCATAAATTTTGTAGCATTAAAATTAATGTTTGCAAGCCTGCAATGAAGTTGAATGGTCAGGGCCAACAAAAAAGGTTGTCTAGCAGTTATTTGAGTGTATTATTTCAGTGTTTTTAATTCAGTTTATTCACAAGCGGCCTCTAAATTGCTATTGTAACCGCTCACATTAGGAGGTTTGTGTACGACTGATAAAACTTTATGGCGCTAAAATAATTTTGAATTACGTTGCTTGAGTTTTTAAAAAATATCATGCATGAAATTATATTATCTCTTTTTCATCAAAAATTAATATCTAATTCTGAATAGTATGCATTTTTATACCAGATTCCACATGTGATTCGTGGATTACACAATAACTGTTGCATGAAGGAGCGAGGACGTGAGTCAGGGTGGCTATTTATGAAGACTCACGCCATGCTGCTTTCTAGTTGTTAATCCCACAACTCCAAGCATTTTATCCTTGTATCATACGCACAAGATATGATGGGAATTGGTAGGTAACCCGATATTTGTAATGAATGAAAGCAATGATTGAGCAAGGAATGAAAGAACTTCTCAGAAATGTCACACACGCGGTATTGCAATGATTTTAACTTGATCAGCAACAGCCTTCATTGAGTGCGAGGTATCAGAGCGGCTGTAGCATCCGTATAGGAATATTTTTCTAACTTCCTAGAATTCGCTATAAGTAAATTAACGTGAAGGTAAATCTTTGTCATCATGGCTATGTACATAGTTAATAATTCAAACATAGTAATGAAAAAGTGCAACTTCTCTGTTTTTGTATTAACTCATATACTACAATTTGCATGCATATATGCACGTCCAAGCGACCAAATTACCATCCCGTGGAGTCAAAATATTCATGAGCTGACCGTAGTGTAATTTTGATCACAAATATCTCATAATGGGAACTTCGCTCTGTTCCGGTATGTGATCGGCTTGCGGGGTATCGCAATAATTCTCCCGTTATGAAACTTAGGGGCAAAATTAAATTTAAAAAGTTCGTCCTAATCAACGATGAGCCCGAGCGAGAAAACTTCCTCACGTCGTCTTGTAAAATGGGCGGTTATTATTAAATGATTCAAATGATAGATTCAAAAATGGTTTAATAATTCCCCCCAGGAAGCTAGCTAATTTTGTATGATCGGTGTTTTTTAACTGTGTTATCATTATTTGGCTGTTTGTTCAAGTATTAATTTGAAGACACTGGAAGTTGTTGGTCATGTATTTAATCTATAGCAATCATGCCATAGTGCAGGAACTGCAGTCTTGTGTTTAACGACTAACTTCATTTGAAGGTGCAACTGCTTGCACACGTGGGATTAATAACAAGTGTCATGCGGCAATAGTTCAAGTGAAAGTCAACATCGCCAAATTATTTTGTTACCACCATGAAATTTGATCGTGATAGTACTTTGTTTCTAATAAATTAATTATATCTTTACCTAGAAACTAATCTGTTCTACTAGATTAATTAATGGAGCCAAAATAAAGTGTCAAGTTAGATAAATTTGTCTCTATTTCTGCTATCAATATCTTCGATTGGCTATAGTTGTGTAATTTTTTGTAGCTTATACTGCGGTATTGCGATTTGCTATCTTGTCTAGTGCAGAAAACTTGGTTGGACGCAATTCTGTCAATCATCATGCAAGTTTCTTGTACCCTTACATCAATCACTTCTTGAGTGCCTAACATTACCGTAATGAAGCGATTATGTTACATGTTTAACAGGATTAACTCTTTTTGTGGTCTTCAATGGCTCTTGTAACTGACGAAATCAACATTATTTCGGGCAACATGTCGCTACCGCCGAGCATGGCAATGTTTCTGGGAGACCGGCAGGTCAGTGAGATGAACGCGAGCGACTTGAACCTGTCGCGCAACTTGAGCGTTCTGTGGAACACGAGCGGTGGCCTGAACTTTGACTTGATCCTGAAGTTCGAGCGCAATTTACGGCTCGACGGAGCTCTGCTCGCCGCTCTTCTGCTCGTTTACGGCGCCGTCATCACCGTGGGTGTAGCAGGCAACTCGCTCGTCGTGCTCGCCGTCATCAGGAAGCCCGCCATGAGGACCGCCAGAAATGTCTTCATCATCAACTTGGCCATCTCAGACCTGGTGCTTTGTCTGGCCACCACTCCACTCACGTTGCTCGAGATCGTCCCTCAATACTGGCCGCTCGGGGACACCCCCTTCTTGTGCAAGCTGGTGGGCACTCTGCAGGCCACGTCCATCTTCGTCTCCACCATATCCATCACGGCCATTGCACTCGACCGTTATCACGTGAGTGAGAATTCCTTCGGTTAAACAAGTCGATGGAGATCTTGATCGAAAATATTTATTTTTAAGCTCATGTGACAATTCGATTTCTCACTCAAATTTCAAGGTTTACAGATAATTGTACATTTATATTGAAATGTCCAAGTTGAAAGATTTTAAAACTATTTTCCTTATACAACTAGGAATATTAATTCCGTATTTTGTACAACACTGAACTCTCCCTTCGTCAAATTAAGTTCAATTCTTAAATTAAAATCTGGCTAAAAAAGTTAAATTTAAATTTGGCTTGGATATGAGAAGCTTTTTTCGCTCCAACTAAATTATTATGATTTTCAAATAAAACGTGCATTGTTAAACACAATTTAAATTAAATTGTCAAGCAAAAAGAAGAACTATATTTCATTGAATGGATTATAAAAGAAAAATAATTTAAAAACAAATTTTTGCGTTTAAAATGTCATTCAAAATAATAGTTCCGTAGCATTATCCATGTACGAATTAAACGGTCAAAAATACATTCAAATTAAAAACCAATTTGATTATTTTCTTTCTGCTCCCCATTTCCACACTGCCAGTTTTCGATCAGCCTCTCACCTTTCAAAAGCCATATTTTTGAGGGCGATCAGTCTACTAAGTAAATAGGCTCTATATCTAAAGGAGTTGAATAACATAATCACCAACAGTCGTACAATGTCATTAAACGATGCTACCGATGTTGCCATACATCAGGTCGGAAGAAAGGGACGCTTGTAAACGGAGATTAAACAGAACACCCAACAATATAACGTATGAGCCCGCTCATGTCAATTAACCCGCTCATTCCTTCTCCTCGGAAAGCTGACAAGAGAAGCATTATTGGCTTAATTATTACTATTATTAATATTAATAATTAATTTATTATAAATAATAATAGTAATAATAATATAATTAATATTATTAGATAATTTAATATAAATAATATTATTAATAATATTATTAATATTAATAATTATTTATTTCTATAAACAAAAGCATTATTGGTTCAATTTAATTAAGAGCATTATTGGCTCTTAATATTAATATGAATTATCTAGTAGAATTAGTATTCCACTCGAAATTAAAACAAATGTCCTTTGAGAAGGAATGCGACAATGATTTTTTTAGGAGTCAATATAGACTCACTTTAAATTTGACGTAACAAAACTGTGCTCTTACATGTCCATTCATACATTCTCTGCAGCTCTCCTGGTAACATAGCGCCTCGCTTTCGTGCAACAGATGTGGCAGCAAGTGTTCAGATGAACAGCTGTTTGATCTCCCTGACATAACCTTGTACATGATATAAGTTTAAAGAAACTATTGGTGCTGGCAGTATGACCGGGAGATACGGTGGGAATTCAAAATAATGCAATCCCTGTGCAGTATATTTCCGTCAGAATTTCGGGCTTCGTCACATGAAGCTGGGTTAATTCGGACATGATGAGAATTTAATGAGAGTTTCCGTCGAATACTCACAAAAAAATGTGTGATGATTCAGGAGAATTATAAAGCATGCACAACAAAAAATAATACATCGATGGAAAACGTGATTTACGCGTTTTAGGTTGTAAATTATGCTTTGTGAGTGAAGTAAGGCGTTATCGAAGCTGTTAAACTTGTGGAAAAATTAATCAGTATTAGAGTACGAGTCTTTTCCTCAAGTTAGAAACTTCAAATCAGCTCAAGTTTAGACTTTTCTGTATAAACTTTTTCTCTAACTTTATTGGATACCGTGGGCCGATTGACGATGCAAATAAGCGAAAGCTTCTTGTGTTCGTAATAGATTCTTGAATCCAATAATGAAGCTCAATTTTCTACCGCACTGACTCAAGGACGATATGAATGGCAATATTGGCTCTTCGATATCAAACAAAAGTGGCTTCGTACCATAAATTACGCGACCTCAATGGCTTTTTTTTCAATNACAGTAATATATTAACAAATAACCGAGTCTTTCTTTCCACTTATCGAAATGTTAATGGATATAACCATAATATACCAAAATCAGCTTTGTTTTGTTTTTCAAACTATTCTCAATTATTTTCTGATCTCAAATTATTCTCAAAATTTAGATTTTCAATCTTATACTTGTATATTGATATCTCTCTGCCCGACAATCGACCAGTCGTCATGCGGTCTATTTATACATTAATGTCATTAGCTCCTTATAGTAATTTAAGGGTTATTTACGGGTTTAATAGGTGAATGCAATTAAAAAAAGGTTATGAACCGTGTTTGAAGAAATGCTTCAGAGCAGTTGTCTTGCATGTAATTCAACGTACCAAATCTGTCGTAACTCAGATGTAGCTTTTGTTAATAATGCATAGTTTTAAATATTTAAAAGTTTTACTTACATTTTTGCTGTTGAAGGTGACCTTGTAATATTGAGCGGAGATTTTTACATTATGAAATCATATTAAATTTGCAGCATTATTCCTATTTCATTTATTGCAATTATTATGCCGTATTTCAGGACTAGAACAACATTAATTTTGAACGAAGACAGCTCAAAATCTCAATCATGGTAATTATTAATAGGCCGGAAGAATATTGAGGGCCTGCACCTTTGATTGCGATCTCGGCTACTGTCTGAGGCGCTGAATAATTCACACAGCTTGAGGAATCATTTTCTCTTATGAGGAATACCACTGAGTTCAAGGTCTGCAAGGGCAGACACTTCAATATTAATGCTGATCTGAATGATTTTAATTCCCTAAGTTGAAATCGAAGGTGAATGCTTAGCAGATTATTGACAAATGTTTAAATAACTTCTTTCTACATAAAAGAAAAATTTGCTCTTGGAAAGCCAAAGAGTTTACAAATGTCAATTGCCTGGAGTCTGATCTAATGTAATGCATGCGACTCTGCACCATCACGAAAGTCAATGTTAACTCATAAATTACGCAAGCGATCGGCCAACACATTCATAACATTCAGTGGAGTCAAAACATGGAAAATCATTTAAGCGCAGAACAGAATCCTAACGAGCAACACAAATTGGCTTTCCAACTCAGGTGCCTGCATGGTATGAGAGTAACGACCGTCGTGTCGCTAAGCTAAAATGTATTGGGAATTTGGGCTGGAAAAAATACGGCGTTCCAACGTCACCACATGGACCGAAATGGTGCGTCAGTGTGACATCACATTGATATAAGTGTTGTGCAGATTCAACATCACCACATGGGCCGAAATGGTGCGTCGATGTGACATCACATTGATATAAGTGTTGTGCCGATTCAATGGCATCACATGGTCAGAAGTGATGTGTCAATATTACGGCATTATATTGACTACGGTGTTCTACAGAGTGATTCACGGGAACTTTCTGTTTTGTGTTTCGAGCCAAGCTGCCATTTGTAGGAATAAGGCATTTGAGAAGCATGGTCATGAATTTGTGTCCCGCCTAGTCAGTTGCCACTATGTATTGGACAAGGGAGCAGCATGCGTTTGCTGTCAAGACGTACATTTCTAGTGGTCGTTCCATTATCGCTACTCAACGAGCATTCCGTACTCAGTTCCGTGTTCGTTCTTCAGGTCGGGTTCCTGATCGGAAATCGATTGTTATGTGGGTGAACACATTTGGGGTAAGTTATCTTTAAATCAATTGTTTACAATGACTTTCCAAGGACCCTACCACATTTGAAGAACAACATACGCCAAGCCATGCCTAACATACCCGTCAATGTGCTTCAGCGAGTTGAATGGAACTTCAAAAATCGACTAACTGAATGCATTGACGATGGGGGCTGTCATTTGTCTGATGTCATCTTTAAAACTATATGTTACATAAATTCTGATATTGTATTTTTCAATAAAATTTATATTGTAATTAAATCTTCACCAGTTATTATTTTTATTGACCTTTCAAATCAGGAAATTTCCATGAATTACCTTGTATTTTTTGCGTCGATGCAATGGCGTTATATACGAACAAGAAATGAGGCGAACATGTAACGGCAACGAATTAGCAGACGGGAAGCGGAGTTACAGTGACATCAAAATAAGAAGTGATGTGCCACTACTACGTATAAGTATACTATTACAACTGAGGTATAAATAAATAAAATTGTAAGATATTGTCTCGTGTATCATCAATATGTCAATATCAACTGTAAATATCTGTATACGTATTTTATTTAATTGTTAATTCTCTGTTTAGATCCACAATTAACAATATTACATGACCATGCGAGATTATACAATAAATTTACGATTCTAACTTGGAAAAGGTTATGATGACGTCAAATCTAGGGGCCATTTAAGGCTTGAGAAACTTTCGTGGCAATCACGACGATACTGGAATCAAAGCGCGTATCCGTGAACGATGCAACTGCCGCAAAGTTTTCTCATTACCCGCCATGAGAGCCTCTGCTGACGCTGCTGCATTGCATTTTGCATGTATTTCTTGAGGTGTAAGCTGTAAATAGCTGCGCGCAAGATGTGGTTTTACTTGATATTTCTCGGGAAGTTCTTGAGTGCACTGCGAGGCTTGATGAAGTTTTTGCAGTTCTTTGACAACAGAGAGCTGCTTGGCATCACCACAGTTAAATCTTTGGCGAAATTTAGAGAAATATCTTGCGGGAGATTGCTAGAAGGGAAGAAAAAGGAAAGGCAATTTTTCGTACAATGAAAGCGCGTGAAGCATTAAACCCAAATATAATTGGTTTTTGAAAAGCCGATTCATAGTAAGTTACTTATGGGGAACAATTGGGCATGGAGCGATCATTTAAGTAACAGTTTCACTGACAATTGTGCACGAAATGCCATCAGGTGACTCTTAAGTACTCTCTAACACATAAACAAGAACATTTTCACTTTCTAAACACACTTGCAGCGTGACTGATACCAACCCGATCATATGCATTTAAGTTAAATTTATTAAATTTCAGAGGTAGTGCTTATGTATACTCAGATCCGACCCATCTTTTTCGTGGTATCTGTGTTGCGGCGTCATGGGGCATTATGAATATTCGAATTAACAAAAGTGTAATTTTTCAAGGTAGCGTTTT